AAATCGTAAATCGAATGGAATTAAGATTAAGTCAAATTTAAAGGAATAATATGATTGTTTTGGAGATATTAGAAATTAAATTCTTTTCGACTTATAAATATTTCAACTTTTTCTAGTGAAGCGAAAGTAATTCGCGACTCGCAAACGCAAAAATCGAAAGGCTACGGCTTTGTCTCCTATCCGATCAAAGAGGTAAGGGAAATTATAATAAAAACACTTTGAAATTTTCTTAAATATCAAAATTCATATTTGGTAATGTTGTAGATGTGACTGTTACACAAATCTCTTGCAAAGAAATCTGTTTACCGGTTGGTTGAGAGAGTCATTCAAGTCCATTCATTCATTCATTCAAGTCCTAGATATTGTCTTCTTTTTTTTTCAATTTTCGAGTTCATTTTTTCAGATTTCTTTTGATTTTTTTTGGAAATTTTTAAGAAAACACTTTTCTTCTTTTTCTTTTTTTTAGCAGCTTTTTCAAAATTAAAGATTTTTGTTGTGAAAACTTCTGATTTCATCTTTCCAAATTGGAGACGAATTTGGGATTGACTTTAGATTGACTTTAGATTAACTTTAGATTAAAAATCAAAATTAGATTGACTTTAGATTTCAAAAATCGAAACCGACACTTTCTAGTGTAACTATTTCTTTCTATATACCAATCAATGCACTCAATTATCCCCCAGAAACCATGTTTTTCTATTTTTAAACCCAGAAAACACTTGAATAAAGAAAGCTACCGTAAATACTGTAATAGTACCCCACCCCCCTCGTACAGTCGCGTCGTCGCTAGTCGCAAAAGTTTTTTAGTATTTTTCAAAGCGCCCGTACTTTAAAAAAATGTGTCTTTGGTATGAAAAAATAGCCCTGAATTTCAGCTATTTTTTGATACCTAAGCGCGCATTGTAGCATAAACCAGTGTCGAGAAAAACTCGTTCAAAGCTAGACTACCCAACACTCCGCACCGTCATTATGGGGGCGGGGTACTATTACAGGATTTACGGTAGGCTAGTTAAGAACATTTTGAAAAGCTCTAGAGACTCTAGAAAGACTTTGTTCGATCAAAACAATTGTAGAAACAATTCTAGAATCTTTCTCATGCATCTAAAAGTCTCAAAAAGTTGATCGTTTATCAAAATTTCGCTTAAAACCCATCGCTTCTTCTTCTTCTTTCAAATTTTTCTTTTTTCCTTTTCTAACTAACCGAATTTCAGTTTCTTTTGAAATGATTCCTCATTACTTACATTACTTTTCATTACTTACATTACTTTTCATTACTTACATTACTTTTCAAATGATTCCTCATTACTTACAAATTAACCCCATTATTTCTTCATTCATTCATTTAATCTAACCACTCTTTTTAAATCATTTCCAAAATTAAACTATCTTTTTTTGAATGATGATTTGAATTTTTTTTTTCTTTTCTCATTTCCCTTAAACATTTCCGGGTTTTTTAGCCCTAAAATTTCAAGAATTCAATTCAAGAAGCGATTCGCTTTTTTTTTGCAACCAATTTTTATATTCTTAGAGACAAAGATTCGAATTTAATATGAAAATCGAGAATTTCAGCACGCAGAGAAAGCGATGACGGCAATGAATGGACAATGGATTGGGAAAAGAGCGGTGAGGACGAATTGGGCGACGAGGAAACCGCAAGATGAGAACAGGAATACCCTCACTTTTGAACAGGTTTCAAAGCTTTGGAAATAACACAAAGTTGTGGTTTAGTTCTTTAGATTTTAAAAAGCATTTAAGACAAATCAAATCAATAGAAAATCAATGATCAATAGATCAATAGATCAATAAAACCTTTTCAGGTGTTCAACTCGACGAAATCCGATAATACATCAGTTTATGTAGGAAATATCAGTCAAACGACTACAGGTAAACATTTTCAACTTTATAACTTGTAAATCTTTATTTTAGAAGAAACAGTTCGAGATCCATTCACTAGATATGGTGACATTGCTGAGATTCGAATGTTTAAAGCTCAAGGATACGCTTTTGTTAGGTAAACTAAAGGATTTTAAGGCTCTTAGGTAGTTTCCGGGTGTTTTGAATGAGTCGTCACGCTTTGAAGGTCTATAACTTTGTTCAGAGATAATATTTCTCTTAACTTTTTATATCATTGTACAGAGAACATTTTAGGCTTTCAAATGATACCAAATAGAGTTTGATTGGATAATCGAGTCCCAGAAAATCAGAGCCAACTCTGAGAAAATCCCTATTCAACTCGACTGTCATGTCACCTTGTTTGCATGGGAATGAAAAATCTGATCAAGCTTTATTTAATATCATTTGAAAGCCTAAAATGTCCTCTTTACAATGATATAAAAAGTTAAGAAAAATATTATCTCTGAACAAAGTTATAGGCCTTCAAAGTGTGACGACTCGTTCAAAATCCCTAAATTTTTCAAAAATACCCGGAAAGCCGATTTTAAAGCCGAAGCAAGAGCCGCTTTTAAATTTAAATATAATATTCTATAGATATGAAAAGAAAGAGGATGCGACAAAAGCGATAATGGAAATGAATGGGAAAGAGATTTCGGGGAATGTGGTCAGATGTAGCTGGGGAAGGACGGCACAGTCACAGATTGAGGTCAGCATTTGAGAGCTCTTGAAAAAACGACTTCTAAACGGACAATTATCTTAAAGATTCGAAATTTTGCAGTCAGCTCAAGCGCCTCTGTTCGCCGATTTGACGGGTTCCCTCCTCTCATCACCACTCATGCAACAATCAGCAATCACTTCAACTCTTCCCACTCTCACCACAGCCACCAATCCATATCTTCAATATTATCCTCAATATTATGGAGCAACAACTCTTCTCCCACAAGCATGGCCTCAAGTTTAAGGATTTGAAGTAAAAGAGGAGATAAAATTAGATAACTTATATCAAAGAATAGCCGGTTCTAGTTTATAAATCAATTTTATAGTCATTTTCTATTCTTCACTAGAAAAAGATACTGAAGAAGGCAATTTGAAGACTATGAAACAATGAAAGAGTTGAATTTCTTCTAAATACAAACTGATACTGATATTGATACTGATCTAAATACTTCTAAATACTAAAAACTAACTTCTAAATATCTAAAATACAATAATTCGATGCAATTCGATGCAATTCCAAAGCATTACAGTATCATTTAACGAAAAGAATCAAGTTTCAAGAATCAAGAATCAAGTTTCAAATCAAAGAATCAAGTTTTTCAACTTTTCCAATCCTCAGCCTCATTTCCAAAAGAATACAAACAACAATTTCCCCAAGTCAATCAAATCCTAGCATTTTTCTTTCATTTCTTTCCTCTTTTCTCCTAATTCTATAGACCAAAGCCGAATTTTTCTTGATTTTTCTTGATTTTTCTCGAAATTTCTACCATTCTTGCCATCTTTTATCGTAAAATTCCATTTATCTTTTCAATTTTTCATTCAATCATTCCTAATTTCATCAAAAATGGTGTTTAATTTTCGCAAATGAAAAAAAAAAGCTTTCTTAAGTGCAAAAACGTGTTGTGAGAACAGAAAAATCAACGATTTTCTGAGAATTTTTCAATATTAATTGTAATTTCGTTTGTATTTTTATCGAATTTCATATCTAGCTACTTAAATCTTTGTGCAATTTTTTCTTTTATGCTCTTTTGTGCTTTTAAAGCAAATGATAAAGACAAGAAGGATTTCTCGGAGTATTTTTAAAACAATCCACTAAAAGCTTACTGTATCTCTAGCCATTTAAAGCATCTAGCCTATTGTTTTAGATCATTTTACAACACTGAAAAGTATTGCAAGTTTTCATTTCTGTCATTTCAGAATAACTGAATATCTTGAAGTCTTGAAGATTCTAGTTAACCCAATACTCAGAATTTACTGTACTTTTCAGTTGAATCCATTCATTTGAATATTGCCATGATTTAAAACAATCTAGCCTATTGTTTTAACCATTTTACAACACTGAAAAGTATTGTAAGCCTCATTTCTGTCTTCCTACAGAATAACTGAAGTCTTGAAGATTCTAGTTAAAACAATACTCAGAATTTACTGTACTTTTCAATTCAATCCATTCAGTTGAATATTGCCATGATTTAAAGCATCTAGCCTATTGTTTTAGATCATTTTACAACACTAAAAAGTATTGTAAGTCTCATTTCTGTCTTCTTACAGAATAACTGAAGTCTTGAAGATCTTCAAGACTTCAGATTATAGTTAAATCAATACTCAGAATTTACTTTACTTTTCAGTTGAATCCATTCAGTTGAATATTGCCATGATTTAAACCAATCTAGCCTATTGTTTTAATCATTTTATAACACTGAAAAGTATTGTAAGTCTCATTTCTGTTTTCCTACAGAATAACTGAAGTCTTGAAGATTATAGTTAAACCAATACTCAGAATTTACTGTACTTTTCAATTCAATCCATTCAGTTGAATATTGCCATGACTAGTCCCCTAAATTTCATATTTAAAGTCCCCTTTTTCGTTATTATATTTGTGTAAAAGCATTTCAAATAAATATTCAAAAAAAACTAAAGTTTTTGATTTGCATTTCAATTGAAAAAGACATTTCGATGATCATCAAATCGACTCAACCATTTCCAACCATTTCCAGAAAAGTTCCCACTTTTCTGAAGACTATTTCCTTTAAACTGTTCAAATTTCTCAATAAATTCTTACCCTTTCCCCCTTCTCTTCAACTAAACTCTATGATAATTAGCACTTGACTGAATGTTTCCATGTCAACTTCACCATTTTTATGACTACCACCTTAAAGCAATTCTGACCTCATTTTTGAGATTTTCCTTCTCAAATTTACAACTTTCATTTCTGCTGAAAGATGTATAAAAACAAATCGGTAAGTTAAAGATTTGTTAAGATTTTAATTTGAACAAAGATTCCTGAGAAAACTGATGATGAGACGACGATCAAGATCAATTTTCTGACTGATTCGATCAATGAGGAACACGTGAGGAAAAAGCATTTTGTTTTTTTTAGGAAAACAATCCAAATCTAGATTCCAAAATCTCAATTTTTCAGTCCGAATCTAGTAAACGAGGCGTTTTCATAGTCAAATCTGCTTTTGAATCGCTTTTCTTTTGTTCAATAACCAGCTTTTGAATGGCTAAGTTGTGTTTTCCAAAAGCCAAATCAAATTCAAAAGTTGAAAAAAAGCAAGACGAAGACTTCGAACCAGGAACAATCAAGATAGGAAACACTGGATGACAATAGCAAGGGATAGAGAAATGTGGAAGCAGGTTGTGATCTGCGCAAATAGGAACACCTGAATGCGAAGACAGATCAAAAAAAAAAAAGTTCAAAAAAATTGTTTCACCCAGCCTATTTGCTCAATTTAATTGCCAACTCTTTAAACTACGATAAACTTGTGAAATTTAACTTAGCTTAATTTCAATAGGCAATAAACTTTGATTCTTGTTTTCTGCTTCAAATTTAGATGTTATTTTTTCGGTGGTATTTTGCATTTCGCTTGCAATAATATTTTTTACAGCTTTACATGAATATTTTTTGGATTTGCTCATAATAATCCCCTCTTCAATTGATCTCATTTTTCTTTGCGGTGCGGGTCGGAATGATTGGAGCGATGATTTTCCCATCAAAAATGAAATCACTTTCATTTATGAATTTGATGCTCACTTCCAGCATTGTATAGTGATCCAGAAAAATATAAAGAAATGATAAAAATTATCTCGAAAAGTAAAGGAATCGAGGAAATTCCCAAGGCTTCCCTGTTCGCAAAAAGTCTTGACGATTGTTTTGTGGTAAAAACGAGAATTCCTGACGTTTGCAAAAGAAATGAGAAAGCTATTTGATAGGTGGGAAGAATATCGACTTTAGATGACGAGAGCCTGACCACTATCGCGTTTTGAATGTAATCAAAGTCCAGGATGACATGAAAGTCATTGAAGGTTTTCGTGAACACGTTCGTGTGTTTTGTATCGTGAAAACATTCAAAAATTGAAGGAAACCTTTGAAAGTTCTCTTTTTTTATGCAAATATTTTGAAATAGAGTTTTGAAATAGAGATTTGAAGACAATTTCATAAGAAATAACTCGATTTCAGCTTTTCAACTAATTTTCGCGTCTTCACTCGCAACAATGCCAAAATTTTGACCGTTTCTTCTTAAGAATTCTTTCTTAATTGTAATTTGTTCATAAATCTTTTAAAAATGTATTCAAATAACAAAATGAGACAAAAAGCATGAGAAAAGTGAAGCCAGAACAATGTTTACTTAAGAAAACTACAGTATTTTTCCAAATTCTCGACTTTCCCTTTCAGAAAATTATAACACAATTCTAATAGAGAATTTCTGAATTGAATTGGAAAAAATTGCGTTCTACCAAACAGCGCCAAAAACATGCTAATTGTATTAGCAAAGGTCATCATAAAGGCCATCAGGGCCACAAGGTCATTGCCATTGCCAAGCCATCAGGGCCACAAGGCCATTGCCATTGCCAGGCCATTGCCATTGCCAGGCCATTGCCATTGCCAGGCCATTGCCATTGCCAGGCCATTGCCATCAGGCCACAATGCCATTGACCATTGCCAAGTCTGACCTAAATCCAGGTTACGATCTGTAACTGTAAGAAATATATATTTATACTTTGATCTTTATAATTTCTTATGAGATCGTGTGGTTCAACAGTAGATGTCTTGAAAGCGCACAATTTATCAAACCTTTCCCTTATTAGGGCAAACTTCGCTCAAATTCGAGCAACCTAGCACTATCACAATTAATTCAACACTTGCAGGTGAAAAAAAAGGGATGAATCGCGAAAAAAGGAGACCACAAATCACTCAAAAACAAAGCTTAAATAAATGGGTATTTAAGTATACAAGGCTACGACAAACGGACAGCTGAATATCGTCTAGTGGCTGATTACGGTAGTTTATCCATCAACTTTGAATTTTGACTAACTGCAGAGCAGTGGCAATTCGCCACAAGAAGTAATCTCAATTCTAACATTCATAATCGATTCTTTCAGTTTCTCTACAACTATGAGCGCTTAAATCCAGTGATTTTTGATTGATTCATTGATTCGAGATTCGAAAATTGCTGGAAATGATGAGGGTAAGTGGAAAAACGTGAAAGAAATGATTAGAATAGCTTTCGATGTTATACACAATGAATTTAATGTTTAATATTGCACAACAATCATTCAAAAATTGAATTCAAACGGCAACGGAGCACTTCGACTGAAGTGTTTTCGTGAAATGATTGAGGGAATGATCGATGAGGCTGTGGAGTGAATTGAATTTTTGACTAACTGCAGAGCAGTGGCAATTCGCCATAGTAACCCTCATTCAATTCTATAAGTGATGCTTTGAATCTATATAATTTTAAAAACCTACTGTCTAAGTCTTGCTTCTTGAGAACAACCAATTATTCTTTCCCCACAGAAAGCAGACGAAAAAGGCCATCAGATTTCTTCACCGTCACAGGTGGAGGAGGCTTCTTGGAGGCGGCTCAAGTCGATCCTCTTGTTGTTGAAGTGGAGGCGATCACAACTGGTGAACTCGGTTTCAAATCACTGCTTTTCTTTGTTTTGCCCGAAAGTCCGATTTTTCTACCAAGACTAAGACGGGATTTCTTCTCAAAACCCCAACGTTGACTTAAAACTCTCTTGAGAATTTGTCCACTTGTTTTCAAACAATCTCTTTAAACCATATATTAAAAATTAAAGTTTCTCATATCCGGATGAAATTTATCTGTCTGTGTAGATGTCTGTGTCTGTGAAATTTGTCTGTCTGTGTAGATGTCTGTGTCTGTGAAATTTGTCTGTCTCTGTAGATGTCTGTGTCTGTGAAATTTGTCTGTCTCTGTAGATGTCTGTGTCTGTGAAATTTGTCTGTGTAGATTTGAAAGAGATCCTTCTTAAAAGCTTTAAAATATTTGTTTAAATCACTTTTAATTTCAGAAAAAAAGTTTGCTCAAATTTGAGACAGCCAACCAAATAAAAGCCTAAAATGGGTCGTCTCTTGGTCCCTTTTTTTGAGGGATTTCATTTTGATTCCCACTCTCATTTTGGAATCATCAGACAAGCAAAAAAAAAAGACTAAAAAAGGGGTAAACATTTTCCGAGATTGAAATTCGAATTCTAGTTTGGTTGATGAAAAATGACGAATAAGGGTTCTTGTTTTACTGCAAAAAAAAACCTCAATTTTGCCTAAAATTTCTTTTGTGTATGAGAAAAATAGTTTGATTTGACGTTTTTTTTGATAGAGTTTAAAAGAAGAGATGCGAGTTAGGGGCGACTCTTCAATCTAAAACCAAAGATCCTCAGGAGGAGGGCATTTAAATGTCCATTTTAAATCGTTATTCCACTTTACTCGATCGTTATTCAACTTTACTCTAGCTAAAGTGAACAAAGTTGAGATGAAAATTAGAAAATCGAGAAGAAAAGTGTGCTTTTTTCAGGCTTTCAGAAGATTCTAAAGAAAACAAACATTAAGATAAGAGTTATTTACAAAAATAGAAAGCCTAGAAGCCTAGAAGCCTAGAAAGCCTTTTATTTCTCAGCTTTTGAACTATCAATGCATAAATTAGAGTTTAAATGGAAATTCAAAACCGAATTTCGTTTCAACACCAAAAATCTTTTTCAATTTCAATAAATAAAAAAGATTCAATGAAACCAATTGAAATGAGAAATGGAAAGACTCGTTAAAACATTAAATTACAGGTTTCTCCTTTGGATATCACATGTTCTAGAGACAAAACACAACTTTCATTCCTCAAAAACGTTTAATCAAAGTAGAAAATTATTACATGCAAATAGTCCTACTCATTTTCATTTCAATAAACAAATATCTTAAAATACTTTTGTCTTTTAACTTTACTTTAAAGCTTTGTTAATGTAATGAAGAGAAACTTGTAAGTCTTGAGAAATGAATTGTCTAAATTCTTCGATTTTTAACTCTCAATCAAGAATCTCAGTACTCCCAGTAATCAGGAATCGTTATTCAATCGTTATTCAATCGTTTTTCCATCGTTATTCAATCGTTATTCAATCGTTTTCGTAATCGTTATTCAACTTTACCATATTCAACAATCGTTTTTCGTAATCGTAATCGTTATTCAATCGTTATTCAACTTTACTAGTTAAAGCGAAGAAAATTGAGATCAATCGATCAATTCAATTTTTGTCTTTTCACTTTACTTTAAAGCTTTATTAATATAATGAAGAGAAACTTGTAAGTTTTGAGAAATGAATTGCCTAAATTCTTCGATTTTTAACACTCAATCAAGAATCTCAGTACTCCCAGTAATCAGGAATTGTGATTCAATCGTTATTCAATCGTTTTTCGTAATCGTTATTCAACTTTACCATATTCAACAATCGTTTTTCGTAATCGTAATCGTTATTCAATCGTTATTCAACTTTACTAGTTAAAACCAACAAAATTGAGATCAATCGATCAATTCAATTTTTGTCTTTTCACTTTACTTTAAAGCTTTATCAATAATAATGAAGAGAAACTTGTAAGTTTTGAGGAACCAATTGCCTAAATTCTTCGATTTTTAACTCTCAATCAAGAATCTCAGTACAAGTTTTGAAGTAAAGTTCTTTAATATTACATTTTGATTGTCTGTTTTAAACCACCAAACACTTGGCTGACTTCAAAATACACTTTTTATTGTTATTTTGACCTTGACTTCTCCACCATCTCGCAAAAAAGACTCTTAAGTTTAATTTTTCATTTTCCCTTTTCATTAAAATATTTCCATACCTTTTTCTTTATGAATTTCTGAAATTGAACCCAAGCAATTGAAATGAAATTTCTTTAAAGCTCTTGTAACTCGATCTCTATGTCTATTTATTGATGAACAAACGTGTTTCTTAGACAAATTCTTTTTCTTCTTTTTCTTACTTTCATTGAAATTTTCTTAGGGAAACTTTCTGTAAGGATTTTCTTTATTTTCACTTTTCTCTTTGTTACTAGGCAATAAATTTTAAACCTAAGCTAATAATTTTTGCTTTTGAAAAGACTTTCACTTGAATTTGATCGATTACTTTTCCGCGAAAATTTCAATTTAAAGATTTTTAAGTAGCTAAATGACTATTTAAAAAATACCGACTGGGGCTACCAGTGGGAACGCAACAGAATACACAATACAACGACACACAGGCTAACCCCGGACAGACGGCTCCCTAACCCTGCTCAATGGGGAACTAAATGCTTTTTGGTGGTGAAGGGATGATTAAGGGTGGCTTGTCACTTTAGAACGGGGCCACAACCACCAGCTCCCTCCAGAAAACCTCTCAACCCGAAGGGGGGGGGGACCATGTCGCATGGGGGTTCGAACCCTCGACCTTCCGATTAAGATAAAAGACACTTAGCCAGTCAGCCACACGTGCTATTTGTTTAAAAATTACAAATTCAAAACTTGAGTTACTCAAAAATGAAGAATTTAAAGGCTAAAATTGATCTTGATATATATGTTATGTCCGATTTAGATTTTCGTCCGATTTAAACTCAATCTAAAACAGACGTCCGATTTAGATTTAGAGTCTAAATCCGACGTCTGATTTAGACTCAGTTGTTGTTTCATTTTTTACAGAACCTTTCAGAATTTGTTTTATCGGTTGTGAATTGCAAATAAGTTTATTTTTAGAACAAACAACAAAAGATGCAAAAGCAACAAAATTGAACAATACATAATCAACTTAAATTAGACTGCAACAACTGCAATCTTTTGTACAATGTTTCAAAAACGAACTTTGATATCCCGTAGTAAATCCTAAGATGTTGCCACATCAATCCAATGCCAGCATCACCGAGGTTTCGGTGTGTTTGCTGAAGGATTTCATAAAGTTCTTCTTGATAGACGACTTTTTGTGGCTTCAATTCTGTTTTGCGCTTTGCTATTGCAGTTGTTGCAGTCTAATTTAAGTTGATTATGTATTGTTCAATCTTGTTTTTGTTCTAAAAATAAACTTCTTTGCAATTCACAACCGATAAAAAAAATTCCGAAAACTTCTGTAAAACATAAAACAATAACTGAGTCTAAATCGGACGTCTGTTTTAGATTGAGTCTAAATCGGACATAGCATATATATATATACCATAAATACTATAATAGTACCCCACTCCCATAATGAAGGTGCGAAGTGTTGCGTAGTCTAGCTTTGAACGAGTTTTTCTCGACACTGGTTTATGCTACAATGTTCGTTTAGGTTTCAAAAAATAGCTGAAATTCAGGGCTATTTTTTCATACCAAAGACACATTTTTTTAAAGTACGGGCGCTTTGAAAAAATTGAAATACTAAAAAAACTTTTGCGACTACGCGACTGTACGAGGGGAGTGGGGTACTATTACAGTATTTACGGTAGATACTTTATTCAGGACCTGAGATAAAGTGCGCTAGATTTAAGATTAAAACACATGAATTCATACACATAACACGAAAAGGGCCGATAAAAAGAAACACGGTATAATGGGAATAATGAATATGTGGGCAGCACAGATAACGTCAAGGATCCACTAGAATGCACTAGAAAGCACTAGAATTCACTAGGATTCACTAGAATCCACTAGAATTCACTAGAATGCACCTCAAGATCAAGATCATCTACAGATAATTTCAATGTTTCGAGACTATTGGACTCTCTCAAAACTGGGACTCTCTGCAGAGTCGATTCCAAATTCTGGCAGTTCTTATTGGAAAAGAGTTATAAAGAAAATTATTGAAGGTGACTGGAATTTCTAAAACGAAAGAACCTCTAATATAGTCCAAAATCATCACAAAAGAAAGCTTTCTGACGTATCTGATTTAGTTCCTGTTTTTACGAAAAATAATAAGGGAATTTGTAGGCGGAATGCTTGAATGAAGTCCTTTTCTCTGTTTGTTTTCAACAAAAGAAAAACCTTTGTTGAATATTTCATGAAGAGATCACACACACACGCATAAACAAGCGATCCAGACAAGCGAACTCTCTTCTCTTCTGAAGTGATCTCTCAAGGGAAAACTTTTCTTCTGTTTTGTAAGCTTTGCCTTGAGATTTTCTTGCAACTTCTGTACTTAACTTTAAGCTTTTTCATTATCCTCTCCCAAAATCCTCAAAAAAACTCTTCACTTTTTCACTAAATTTTGACAAACAAATCGTAGACTGAGTATCTTTTATCTAAAAAGTATTTTTGATTTCAGTTTCCTTTAGAATTAAGGCTTTGAAATGAAATTCTTGGCTTTTTGAAAACAATACAATGAATAGAATAATGTTTACAAAAAAAGATTTCAAATGATATCAAATCGAATTTCTTCAAAGAAAATCCAGCGAATTTCCTTGTTTTATTTGTTTTTAAACTAAGCCTTTACGCTTTACTTAAATTATTTTATTTGGTTTTAAACTAAGCCTTTACGCTTTACTTAAATTATATATATTGCTTTATTCATGGGGCGAATAGAAGCTAATCAGATAATCATAACTGCATCAAACATATCAAATCGAATTTCTTCAAAGAAAATCCAGCGAATTTCCTTGTTTTATTTGTTTTTAAACTAAGCCTTTACGCTTTACTTAAATTGCTAAGCTCTCAGCGTAGAATCAGTATATTTAAATGCAATTTTAAACAAATTATTCTCAAAAACTTGCAAATTTAATGTCAAAA